GACCAGGAAGTCGGCTGCCCGCCCTCCCTGCCTCACCCTCGCCAGCCTTGCCCCCAGCTCTAGCTTTACCCCGGCCCAGTAGAGGGTCCCTCCTTCCTCTCAGCCCTCAGCTCCGAGCCTGTTAAGGTCAGGCCTCCCAAGGTCAGGCCTCCCCGCCTCCTCCTTGGCCCCTACCCACCAGAGGCCTAAGCCCAGGCGCTAGACATTTGTCCCCCTTCCCTGTATCTCTCCCGTCTCATCCCGCGCGGGAAGATGCTGTGAAAAAGCGCCACTAGGCCTGGTGCCGAGGAGCTCTAGTGGCGTGGTGCCTAAGGCATCTGACTGTTGACCAGAAGGCTGATGGTTCAAACCCACCAGCTACTCCTCAGAAGGAAGGTTGGGTGATCTACTTCCGTAGAGATACCGCCTCAAAAACCCAAGGAGGGGTCGCTATGAGTAGAATTGACTAGACGGCAGTGAGTTTGGTTGTTTTTTGTGTGTGTATGTGTGTGTGTGTGTGTTCCTTCTGTCAAACTCAGTGAAGTAGCATTGGCCGCGGCTGGGGAATGGCCAGAATGGGTCAAGTTGGGGCAGTCCCCAGTCCTGCCCCAAGCCCTGGGGGATTGCGGGGTGGTGGTGATTCAGCAGTGGGAAGGCCCCAGACCCCGGGGCGGAGGTGGGGGGGGGACTGGAGGAAGGGGAGCTGGCGTCAGCACCCGGGGAAAGACAAGATCAGCAGAGGCGCAGGCGGAGCCACGGGCCCCAAAAACAGGATGTAGTGTCGTCGTTCCGCACCCGGCGGCTCGGCCCTAGGTAGGGGGCAGGGCGGGGCGGGGCGGAGGACAAGGAGCACCCCTCGCTCCATCTCCTCGCTGGGACGCGCAGCTGCTTGAGGGTGAAGAGCCGCACCCAGGCCGCAGCCTGAGGTCGGGTCTGGGTTTGGGGGACAGGCGGGTGGGCGGACTCGTGGGCGCCCTCTGGTGCTTCTGCTCCCACGCCTTGCGCAGATCTCTGACTTGGGAAGTGATATATCCTTGGTTCAAAGCAAAATTCTGAGCGCCAACCGCGTGCAGAGCCGCGTGCTGGGTGCTGTTAAAAACTCACAGGTTAAAAGATCGGCTTCCTGTCTTCAAGAGACTTTCCACATAAAAAGGAGGATGAGTTCCGGGGATAAAAAGCTTGACCTTTTTGAACCTCAATTCTTTCTTCGGTAAAATGGAATAATAATCTCCCCTTTCACCGGTTAGTTGTAAAGAAAAAATAAAAGTAGGTGTAAAAGGCCTGCTGTCAATGCCTGGCTTAAAGTAAACACTCCACAAATGCCTCTTTTTTTTTCTCTTTTTAAATCATACTATGCGTTTCCTAAACACAACGTGCCTGCCCACATCTTTGGATCTTTGTGCATTCTGTTCCCTCTGCCTGACTTCTTTCCTGTATAGTCTGCCATGGGAAATGGGCTCTTTCTTTCACATTCTGGACCTAATAAACTGCTGCCTGCTTGGCTGCATCTTCCCTGCCTCCAATACCGGTCCTCCCACCTGTGCCAAGTCCTTGATAGTCTTTCCCAGTGCTGTTCAAAAGAAATAGAATGTGAACCACATACGTCATTTAAAATTTTCTAGCAATGACATGTGCTAAAAAGTAAAAAGAAACAGGTGAAATTAATTCTAACAATACATTTTTTAAGCCAATACATCAAAAATATCATTCAACATATAACCCACATAAAAATTATTAGAAGTACTAAGTCTTTGAAATTTGGTGTGTATTTTTACGCTTACTGCATGTCACAGTTTGGACTAGCCACATTTAAAGTGCTCAACAGCACATGGTGGCTGGTGGTATCTGATAGAGAAGTTAGAGGAACTATCAGATTCAGGCTGGTAAATGACTGAGTGGATGAATTCATTCTCCAAGATTTTTCTGCTTGGAAAGCCTCCCCTGCCCTTCCAGAGAGAGTTTTGAGTCTTTCTCCTCAGTCCAGTAGCGTTTGGGACCAATTTCTCTCTGCAAAGGAGAGGAGAACAGGAGAGACAGGAAAATCTCATTCCCTCCCATGCCCTAGTGGAAGTATACAAAGGTGTATCTGGGGATGGCATATTTGGCATGTGCCTTGGGTGCCACTTGAGGGAGCCAGGCAATGAGCAGTTTCTATTCACCATTGAAGTTTTCATCGCCAGCTGTGAGAGATCTCTGTGTCCCAGAACAAAGGTTTTTGAGCTCTCTTCATAGAGTTTCCATCCCAGGACTTGAGGACAGAAGAATAGTGGGGCTCAGACCACCCTCCTCTTCAGTTAGAGCAGGTTTGCTTTTACCTGATTTATGTACTGGTATTCTAGGGCCGCTATGAATTGAAGTTGACTTGATGGCAATGGACTCTTGAGTTAAAGGTTCTAGATGGAAAAAACAAATGCTGGCGAGGGTGTGGAGGGACTGAAACTCTCATACACTGCTGGTGGGATTGTGATATGGTACAACCACTCTGGAAAGTGATGTGGTGCTTCCTTAAGAAGTCAGAAATAAATGCCATATGATCTAGCAATCTTACCACTAGGTATATATCCTAGAGAAATAAAATTTTTGAACAGATATATGCACACCCATGTTCTTTGCAGCATTATTCACAATTGCAAAAAGATGGAAACAACCTAAGTGCCCATCAATGGATAAATGGTTAAACAAGCTATGGTATATACACACAATTGAATACTACACAATGTTATAGAATAATGATGCATCTGTGAAGCACCTCATTAACATGGATGAACCTAGAGGAGATTATGCTAAGTGAGATTAGTCAATTACAAAATGACAATTGTGAGCCATAGTGACATAGTGCCTAAGTCATTTGACTGCTAACCAGAAGGCTGGCAGTTCAAACCTACCAGCCACTCCTTGGAAGGATGACTGGGCAATCTACTTCCATAGAGATACCACCTCAGAAAACCAAGGAGGGGTCACTATGAGTTGGAATCAACTTGATGGCAGTGAGTTTGTTTTTTTGTTTTTTTCTATTCTAAGAAGTTAAGAAAAGGTTTACATATAGAAAGAATTGTTCTTTGAAGGTTACCAAGGGTGGGAGAGGAAAGGACAGACAATCACCAACTGGAGCATAGACTCATTAACTTAGGTGAAGGGAAAGGCAATATACAATAAGGGGGAGGTGAGCACAAAATAATCAAGACACTGGAAGACATAAGGATGAGCACATGGGTTAAGGCAACAAAAGTAAATAATATTACATACACAGTCCTGCAATAACAATAATAACAATAATATGTGAGTGGATCCATAGATAGTCTGAACAGAGGTAGAAAGGTGAATGAGACTACACCCATGAATATGTATAGGTTTGACAGAGGCTATCTTTACCTATGTACTTATATGTGCTTCAAACATATTCATGAATGTAGTAGAATGTACAGAGGACAAAGTTATGAAAACATCTCAGTCACAACAAAACACCTTAAGGGCATGAGTCACTGGGTATGGGGGCTGGAGACCATAGTCTTGGAGTACGCTAAAGTGAATTGGCATAACATAGTCCATAAAAACAATGTTCTTAAAGAGTAGCAACTAGGTAGGGGACATCAAGCTCAATTGGCATAACATACTACACAAAAACATTGTTCCATATACTACTTTGGTGAGTAGTGACTGGTATCTTAAAAGTTTGCAAGCATTCCACCTACTACTTTGGCGAGTAGCGACTGGGACCTTAAAAGGTAGGAAGCTGCCATCTAGATGCAACAACAGGTCTCTCCTCATCAAGAAGAAAGAAGAAAAACAAAATTAATGGAAACAATCAGTCCTAGCGACTGGTACACCATCCAATCTGCAACCTATACAACTATGAGAC